GAAAAGGAAAGAAATACTTTCAACAATGCAATGGATCTATGAAAAATGCTACTTTGATTGAGATTGTGATTATTCCAGGCCTCTAATTGTATACTCCGAAAAAAAGCCATGAGCCTCTTTCCACCCTATAATTTCTAGCACTTAAACTGGAATTCAGATTTTAATTCAAAAATTCATTGACATTTTAGCTGTTAAATGTATGCTTAGCAGTGAAAACAAACTGTTTATATAGTCTGGCTTACACTCGCATGTACAAGTAGAATTTGACCATATTGAATTTCTTGTCTGATTCACAAACACAATCATGATTTTCCAGATGTTTGAACAGCAGTTTGGTTAAGGAAACCCTTGTGAAGGGTTTCCTTCTTTTTTCTTTTAACATTCTGAAGAGTTGAACAAAACATTGAAGTGCTCAAGTAGCCTCATAACACAATGATTGGTGCTATTTTAACAGGTTGCAAAAGCCACAGACAGCAAAGCTTTGCCGAATGCTTTTGTGGGATTTCTAACCTCTTACTTTCACCTCCTCCCCTCTGCTTTACCTGCAAGGTTGGCAATGCAGCAACAGACAAACATTTCCCATAGGTATGAGTTAATGAGCCTCTTCAATTATATTCATTATCTCAGCAATTTCATTTTAACAAGTCTGCTTTCTAAAATTGAGACTTGGCAGTGACATTACATTAGGCAGTAGCAGAGGAAATGAAAGGAAATAGGGACAATGTCAGCTCTGTTAAGATGCCACTTTTGTCTGAATTGTCCCTCTTCCATTGCTTATCCGACAGTCATTAGCATTTCCACTATCTACCACCATACTTCAGCAGAAGGAAGAAGGGGAGGGATGGCTTACTTTGGCTGCTGTGTATGTCCTTTTCCTTACTATACTGGTAGAATAATCAGTCACCAAACAGGGGTGTCAAACTCACGTCAGCATCATGTGATGTATTGGGACTTTTGTCACCTTTGTTAAACCGGGTATGGGCATGGCCAGCCCAGCCTGAGTTCTGGGAGCTTGACAGCCCTGGCTTACAACTTTAAATGAAGGTATGATGCTGAGCAGGACGTGCACTCACTAGAGTCAGGGGAGGCGGGGCCTCACCAGTCTCCTCAGGAAAGGAAGGAATTTTAAAGATTTTTTAAAAATAATTAAGGCCAAGCTAGTTGCTACCGGACTTCAACTCGCAGTAATTTGGAGTGTATATAGTGTTTAAGTATAGGAGGAGGCCAGAGAACTCGGGCT